AGCGGTGGCCAGACAAACAAAGTATACTATTTCTCATTACGAACTAATTTTATGCTGATTTCTGAATACGCATTTATTTCCCTTATGCAGGTCATGTTACAACTGTTGCAGCACAAAACGCATATTGTCGAGATCTTGCCGTTGTGTTTTTGTGTGTGTTCCGGGCGCATTTTTTTCGGGGGTTTCAACTCAGGGACCAGAGACCCCGGGAAGTTGAAATTTTGAAGGGAATTACCTACATGTGATTTTACAGACACAAATTCAGCATTTGCGTGCGTCTAGGTTTTACGTAGGTTACATGAAAGTTTTAGCGCAAAAATTGTTAATTCGGGAACCAGAAAAGCTAAGAACTTGAAATTTTAGGAGAATATCCTCTACCCGCAAATGACCCCAACCAGCTCAAATTTAGCTCCTCGCATGCCTAGTTCTCACGCAGAAATAAGTCAAATTTTTGACAAAAAGTAACTCGCGAACCACGAAAGCTAGGAAGCTGAAATTCGGAATAGCACTCCAGTCCTCGCGCACGTCTAATTCTTTGTTACGAATATGCAAAAGTTTTAGCACAAAAATTTTTATCTTGGAAACCAGAAAGCCTGGGAAGCTGGAATTTTAGGAACACAGGAACCACAAAAGTTTCTGTACTTATCAAACAGTCGTGTAACGGACACCCTTAACAGCAAGATTTCCTTGAACAGAGTTACACAAGCGTCAACTGGTCAGGGTTACACAAAACTCATGATCGCACCAATTACCCTGGTGCGCACCGCTGCTTATTTGTATTAGGAAAGTGTACTTGCTTGCACTTAGCTAAATTGCTCTGCAGTAAGATTTAGTATGAATTTATCAAACAGATGAATTTGGGCTCTTTGATCAGAACAGTATCGTTGCTAACCTGCTCGACGCGCTAGCCAAGAAGAGTTTAAGAGAGCATGTTCATCAGACAAATGCCCTAGGTTTGCGCATAGTACCTCAAAATTTCGTTTCACGAGTTGGTTGAGAAAAGTACCGAAAAGCTCAAACATTTC